TTTCGGTTTGCTCATGCCCTAGTCAACTAGTGAATGGGTTTGTATGTCATATATTTCTTCAAAAAAAAAATTATGTAAATCAATTTGAGTTATAATACTCAAAAGCATATACACATGTTATCAACAAATTTTTGACATATTGAAGAAAGGAAATCAAAGAAAGATTATTCGGAGAAAGCTAAAAAAAAAAAAAAAAAAAAAAGGGTGTTCAAGAATTTAAGGTGATCCAAACAATATAAGGTTTGGAAGTTAAGGTAGTTGTTGTCATTTTAGAAGTTACTAAGGTTGTATTCGTGTAAGGTCAACATTGATGCATGAGTTAAGGGTTAGAAACACTTTACACAAATATTTGTATATATCTAGGGACGTTTGTATATATATCTATATTATTCTTTTTCTTTTCTCTAGTATAATATATTGTTACTTTCTTTTTCCTTTTGTTTTAGTTTAGTTTCTGAATCCTGTTCTGGATATCATTTCTTTGATTGATACTCATGATAATAAATTCGTCATTATACACTTACTTTATATGATATTGATTTCATAGTATTGATCAAGTTTTACTTAGAAATTATAATTTGTTGAACATATTTAAGTTGAATTTGTTAGTTCAAAAATAAAGAATTCACTGAAGGAAATCCACGAAAAACAAATTGGCACGTACGGAGTGAGACTCGTTTGTGTCAATCATAATTCATTTAGTCTTAAATATGTTACATGAAATTTAGAAGTGGTAGAATTATGTCTACAGCTAATCAAGGTAAGATTAATAATAATGAAGCTGGCTATGATGATGGGAATGTAGTATAATAGGTTCATGTGAATGAAAATGTTAATCCTACAATAGGTATGGAAATTACTTCATCTCCTATAGTAGAAAACATAATAGGACAAAATGTGAGTTGAACACAACTTGCATTGATTAATGTTACTGGGTAATGCCCATGGGGTATGCCTTCAAATTGGAGAACAACACAACCAATGAATATGGATATTCCTTGGAATTACTCCATGCCTAATCCTTAAGTTCATTTGTCTTCATATGGGTATAATGCAAGCCCACATGGAATGAGATTTGTAATGCAAAACCCTTTTCAACATGTAAGGACGAGCCAAGAAGGTTTTATGGTTAGATAAAGAAGTTATATATCAACTAGTGTAAACAATCAAACAATGATGACCTTTAGACAACAAATGGATCATAGAAATCATGGTATGGTGAACATGCTTTCCACATAGTTATCAGCAATTATAACTCCTCTATATGAATTGATCAATAGAATAAGATAAAAATTAGATGGACATAATCAACTCTTGAATTCAAACAATGACAAGGTATAGAGAAAGACCAAAATCATGGAATAGGAAATACAAATGGTTTGAGAAATCCTATGGTAGTAAATTAATAGGGAACAAAATGCAGTTAGATTTCTAAACCAAATATGAAAACAAAAGTCAAAATCCTCAAAATCAACCACAAATTTACAATGAAAACATAGATTAAGTGGTTAAACAAGAGTTAAACTAACATGGTTTCAATATAGGATGTTATAACCAAACGTATTTTGTTTATGCTTTTCTTGCAGAATATGTTATACAAATTGAGTTACCAACGGGGGGTTAAAATTCCTAAATTCTCAAAATTTTCTAGAGCGATTAGAGAGTCCATAATATATCATATAGCGAGATATAAAGTAAAATGTGGGGACATAATTGCAAATGAATATTTAAAAATGAAATATTTCCCAATTTCTTTAACTGAGAATGCATTTACTTGGTTTACAACATTACAATTAAATTTGAATAAAACTTGGTTTCAATTAGAAAGGAGTTTTCATGAACATTTCTTTTGAGTAGAAATAGAAGTTAGTTTAGTAGATTTAGTAAAAATTAAACAATCTCGTAATGAATCAATAAATAGTTATTTGAATAGGTTTAGGCAAATGAAATCTAGATGTTATACACAAATCCCTAAACATGAGTTAGTAAGAATGGTTGATCTTGACCTTGATTTTTTGATTTGAAAGAAATTAACAATTAAGGGACATGGGCCAATTAGGAAAAAAAAGGTTAGAAGGATAGAACAAATTAAGATCAAAAAAGAAAAAAATGAAAAAATTAGATAGATTTGTTCAAAGAGAGAAAATTTCTTATGTTAATAATTCCAAGATACATGAAGACATAAGTTTTGAGGATATTAGTGAAGAAATAGAAGTAAATATAGCAGAATTACAAACTACACCTACTTATACGTGTTAAATGCTTAAACCTGGAGAAATTAATTTGGAAAGAAAATCTAATAAGAAGTATCGTACATTTTGATTCGACTAAAGTAAATAAATTTTTTGATATTTTGTTAAAAGATAAGAAAATTGTGTTACTAGAAAATCATAAAATTCCTCATTTTGAACAAAGAAATGGAAAAAAGTTTCGTAAATACCATAATATATATGGCCATTGGACTAAGAATTGTATAAGTTTCAAGGATCTCATTGAAAAGGCAATTAGTGATAGTCATCTAGCTTTTGAGGAAAAAGAGATGAAAGTTGACCCAGATCCTTTTAATGCTTAAATAAGTTATGTTGAACCAATGCAAGTTCTAGTTGTAGATGGAACTGTTGATAATGAAAAATTTGAGGGTGCTAAGCCAATCTCTAAGGATGTTTGGAAAAACTTTTAAAGGATTTCTCGAAAGAAAAAGAATAATGACAAATTTGAGGGTGCTAAGCCAATCTCTGAGGATGGTTTGGAAAATCTTTTAAAGGATATCTCAAAAAAAAAAAAAAAGAAGAGGAAGTGGAGGAGGAGAATATAAAAAAAAAAAGTGACATTATATCCAAGATGTAGTGTTGTGCTTGATCATTCTATTATAATTTTTTTTGAAGAAATAAATCAAAATGTGAAGTTACAAAAGAAAGTAAGCTTGAATGTTAGTTTCTCTATGGAGCATGAGCATGCTCCACAGAACAATGCTCCTTTAGGTGTGTTTGGATGAGGAAATTTAGAAATTCAAGAAATTTATATTTCTTAAAATTTGAATTACTTTAATTTTAATTTTCATCTTAAATTGTTGAGTTGAATACGATAATTTGATTCTACCATGATAAAAATTATTTTAAAAATGTATTTATATGTTGAGATTTTTAAATTTAATTTTATAAAAATAAATATTAGCAAAATTTTAAATATTTAATAGCTTTAGAAATTAATATTGATGTATAATAATTTTAAAAAAATGAATATTTAATCATTAAAAAAATAATATTTTTTTATGTCGACTTTGAAAGAGAGGTGAGAGAGGTAGGAGAAAAAAAATGAGAGGAGAGAAGAAAGAATAGAAAGAGGGAGAGAAGAAGAGAAAAGAGAAATAGGAGAGAAAGAGAAGGGAGAGAGAATGAGAGATGGAAGAGAGAGAGTTAAAAGTAAACATAAGACATATGAAAAAGGGAATAAAGAGATATAAAAGATATATAAGTGACATAAATAAGAAAAAAAATATGAAAAATTTTGAATTCTTATTTTTTTGAGAGAAATTGAAATTATACTATTTTAAGAAATTTTACAAATGTTTGAATTTCAAATTTCTTGCAATATCCACATAAAGTATTTCATCTTAAATCATTTGAAATTTTTTTTAAAAAATAAATTGCTCTATTTAAATTCTTAATTCAAACACATTATTAATTTAAAAATATAAAAATACATAATTCATCAAGATTTGACAATACTTACGTGTCTAATTCCAATGTTCTTGTTGGTAGATGGAATGGTCCTCCACACTTTGAAAGTTATAATCGAGGAAAACAAATATCAAATTACAGTAGTCCAATGTATGATGGATCTAAGTTTTATAATGATTATCTTAGGAATTACAATAGGGTTACTTGGTTTCTTATAAATAACATGGCTATGATAGAAAAGACATCAAAAGATGAGAAACGCAACTTTTGAAGGACTTGGGAGAAATATAAGTTTTTGATTTTTATTTCAAAAAAAAAAAAATCATCAAAGAAGATACCAAGATTAGGTGACAAAGAATATATAAACCCTAAACCTCAAATCATAACCTTTCATTATCGTTCCTAGTTTCTAAAAAAAAATAATAAAACTTACAAAATAATAAGTATTTATAATAGGGAGGTGAGGTGATTTAAAGATAATTACGAAATAAAATTATCATAAAAAAATATACACGAAAGATTATATTAACTTCGTAAATTATAATAGATATAAAGTCTACTCATTTATATTTTGTCCTTGTAATTTTGTATAGACTCTTGTGCGGTTTATCCAAATCTTTTCAATTAAAAAACAAACCAAAGACTCAAAAAAAAAATAACCCATAGTTGATCTTAAAAAGAAGTTATGTATTGCGAATTAGGTTAAATAAACAATTTGCAATTAAAAAAAGTAACAATGACATTACGGCGCCAGACACAAAACAAAGAAAGAGAAAAACCCATGTTAATTACCAAAATATAAAGTGCAAGTTCAAAAAGGGAAATTAAATATTTGACATAGTATTTGTATAGTAGTTATATTATTAATAAATATTGTACTACATTATTTTTACAATACCCTTTTAGATTTTTTTCCTATTTATCTCTCTTTTATTTATATCCTTCTTTTCCTATTGTAAAAGTAGTTGCAGAAACATCACAATTTCTCTTTATACACAAATAAAAATATGAGATTAAGAATTTGTCTTAAAATCATAGTAACTAATATTTAGACGTGGTTTTTGAAGAATGAGAACATGTAAGAGGTTAGATGGTGAGGACTGAGGACTGAGGAACACGGTGTTCGTAGTTGATGGAGGGTCCAATCATTCATACGCGTGTGACCACTTTTCTTTCGTCTACCTTCTCACAATTAACGCTCATTTTTCTATCTTATCTTTTCCTTTTATTTATTTATTATTTCATAATTATTTTTAAAATAAAATAAATAGAAAGAAAAAAAAAGAAGTAGAAAACCCTTCGCTTTCTCTCTCTCCTTCGACTGTGTATTGACGAGACAACGCTTTCGAACGCTTTCATAAACTTCAAAAACTACGCGTCCCTTCCTCTTCTTCACAACCAAACCCAAACAAAAACCCTAAATTTCTCTCTCCTCTCTCTCTCTCTCTCTCTCTCTCTCTCTGTTTCCGCGTTTTCTCTCACTTTCCGTGATTCGATTTTCGATTCCGATTGCCGCCACCGCAGATCGCGTTCTTCCTTGCACAGTGCAATTCGCGCGCGCACTCCATGTATGGACGACGACAAAGACAGACCACCTTCCGATCCTTCCGCCGCCGCCGCTGAGTTCGCCGGCGACTCGAGTTGGACACTCGCCGCGGATGACTCCGACGGAGCATACTTTTTCTCCGGAGACAGGGAGCGAAGCATACTCAGGGAGTTCGGGTGGAACCTCGAACCGGACCAGGCGAACCGGATCGGCACCGACGACGGACTGTGGACACCGGTTCAGTCCTCTCTGAGCGGTTCGATTGAACCGGCCGCTGCGGCGAATAACCACTCGGTGTCTTCGAGCTCCAGCGAGGATCTTCCGGAGAAATCCACCGTCTCCGACGAGAAACCGCCTGAGATTCCGTGAGTTCGCGAAAACGCCAATAGTCGTAAAAAAAAATAGCTTCATCACTGCTTTCAGCTTTGGTTAACACTTGCTAACAGTTAAAGCTTTTCCTGCGTGCGTGCGTGGTTCTCGTGTGGTGAATCCGTAATTAACGTAAAAATTGTGGGGGAAAGTGAAATAAGAATAACTGAAAATCTCTACATCAACGAAATCACAATCGAATCAACTTGTGGTGGTTTGTTTGTATGTATAGTATTTTAGTATTTATTTTATTTTATTGTTTTCTTTTTAATTTTTTATTTTAACTTGTTCGGAGTCAGTGCAATTCCTTGCCCGTACAATCACGAATCTTCTTCCCAAACAGAACATTTATAACCGACTATTTTTTCTTTCTTCTATAGGTGCGTTTAGTAATTTTCGAAAAGTCGTGGGCTGAAAAAAGTAAAAGTTTGGGGTGCAAAAGTGGAAAAAATGGGGTTGCCTTTTCGAGTGTGCGAAGTTTCAGCCCACGAGCACCACCGCTATTGCGGCGGGAATGGCGTGCTTCTAAGCCATTCAAGGCTTTGGAGAAAGAATGATAATAATTTAGTGGTGTTCATTATTTTCGCATTATTATTGTCTTTATTACACTTTGTTTTGATGAGGGTTTGAATAGTCAATGAAAGAAAAAGAATACCATAAAATTAATTGGGCTCCACTTTTCCTTTTATCTTTATTGTTTTCTTAAATGATTTATGCTTATTCCATACACTGCTCTTGAATTTTTTGGAGGCATTAATAAGATTCTAACCACCTGCAGCTTTTTGGTTCAAATTATATGGTCATTCTTACACTCGAATGTATAGCAGGATTTTTGCTTTCTAAGTATGATGCTTGTTCATTTCACTGCTATATGTGATAGCGTTGGCATTAATTAGCATTTTGTGCTCGTAATTATCATGTATGCAATACGATTGAATATAAGTTGCATACGACATAATGCTTCTTCCCTTAAATAATGATTGCGTGTTTTCATAGTAAGGCGGTTTTCTTTTTCTTCTCTTCTGTGGTCCATATTTTATGTTCATTATTTCTAATTAAAAGAAAATTAATGTTCATTTAGTACTTAGTTATTCTTACCAAGGTGTTGTGCGTCTTAGTTATGGGATGGTTACCACGCGCAACTATTTTTGTGTTTTTTTGCCCCCAATTAATGCAATGTGGATCTCATTGTTTTAGCCTTTGCACATAAAATGATTTTAATGATGATTTGAAGAATCTAAATTGGCATAAAGCGTGGATTTTAGTGGAATTAATGTCATCAATCTACAGCCTCTACTCAAATTATCATCCAAATTGATTCCTTGTGTTATGCCCATTTCACAAAGGCATTTCTAAATAATAACAATAATAATGATAGGATTTTGATTACTTTTTCTTTCTTATCCCATTTTGTTTACATGTTGATAGGTTTTACCCCACACACACACATATATATATATATATATATATATATTTTTTTTTTTTTGAAATAGCTGTTGAAACGTGAATTAATGCACATATAAATCGGAATAATTGCCTTAACTTAGTTCCTCTTGATTCAGATTGATGCTTAATGGATTTCAACAAAGTATAAAGGAAGATAATCTTATCATTGACTAGCGTTACCAAAATATCGTGTATGATTGATAATGGGTTGCAAAATAAAATTTGCTTCTGGTTTAGGTTATGACATGCTGCTTTTATTCTGATAAATTGTAGGTGAAATATTTTGTAGGTGTAAAGGTAAAAAGAAGGGGCAAAAGCGAATACGGCAGCCACGGTTTGCATTTATGACCAAGAGTGAAGTTGATCATCTTGAGGATGGCTACAGATGGCGGAAGTATGGCCAGAAGGCCGTTAAAAATAGTCCTTTCCCTAGGTTTACAGCTACCTTCACATCAAATTAAACTTTAATAATTACATTACCAAAATTCTTGCCAAATAAAGTCTCAAAAAATACGATATAAAATTGATTGTTTTGTGGCTCCTTTTGGCTTTTGTTGAATTTTCTTGTGTGTCAACATGAAATCATGCTAACATGCATTGTTTTAAAATATTTTTGAACCTAAAGATACGCTTCAGAAAAAGAAAAAAAAAGAGAAAAAAAAAGGAAATCTAATATGACAATTAATATAGCATGCGATGCATGTGTAACCAAAATCATTCCCCATTGTTTTTCTATGCAAGGATTTCTTTGGGAATATAAATATCAAACAATATGAAAAAAAAAATTATTCCATACATGATAGATTGCTAATGAAATTATCTATATTTTCTGTATGAAGGTCAGATGAATATTATTGGCGGCTATCAATACAAGAGTCTTTGTGCTAATCAACAATTTTTTTGGAATAGATTGACAATGATAACTGCAATAGAAAAGGTAACCGACAACATTGCGCAAATTAATTATTCTGATGCATTAATATGTCTTTTGCAGGAGCTACTACCGCTGCACAAACAGCAAATGCACGGTGAAGAAAAGGGTTGAACGCTCTTCCGAGGATCCAACGATTGTGATTACTACATATGAAGGGCAACACTGTCATCATACCGTTGGATTTCCTCGAGCGGGAATCATTAGTCATGAAGCTGCCTTTGCGGGCCAGTTGGCTCCTACAATGTCACAATTCTATTATCCAATTCAATCACCCAGAGAGAACAGTACCTTTAGTTCTATTTCTCAGCCTTGCCATGCTCAAGATGAAGCTGGAGGAGGATCCAGTGCTATAATGCCAACTGATGCATCGTCACAGCAGCGTCCCACGGATGAAGGGTTGCTTGGAGATATGGTACCCCCGGGAATGCGCATCAGATGAGAGCATTATTTGATGGTATATATATCTCCAACTTTACATATGATCTTTCTATCCTTTTTTTTATTATTATTTATTTAGTCGATTGCATTTTTATGGGTTTAAGGAGATTTTACAAAACTAAAAGCTCGGATATTAAGTTCTGAAATCTAAATAATTTAGGAAGTATATATATCAAGTACAGTTCTCATTTAAAGAACGTGAGAATTTACATACATATATATATATATATATATATATATATATATATATATATTTCAA